AAGTTCAAATTTGGGACGAAATTACATAATCAAAAACCTAGCATACCTATTTTAGTTATTTTGTTGTGAGTGTATAATACTATTCGTGGGTACTTGAAACTTCTAATGTACACTATATTATATATCTATGATAGTATCAGGTTTTGTTATTGATGTATAACGTGTAATAACTTATAAGTACCTAATGGATATTGTGATATGATTAATTTGGAATTTATTATAGGTCAATTTTTTTTTAATACCATAGATATGTATATAATATGTCTTAAACCTAGACTGACATACCGTCTTCGCTCAGAATCGTTTTTCTTATACAATGATATTGTATCATTGGATTCAAATTTAATACCATCCATTATACAGTGACCCACTTGTAACCTACTGTACAGCAGAGCGACATCCACTTACCCACCTTTTTTTTTTCCATGAATGTCAATAAAACTTTATTTGTTGAGTAAAAATACTTAAAAATTTAATACAAGGCACCTACTATATTGTTACAATGACATTTGAAAAATATTAATAATCATTAGTCACAGTTTTTTTTTATAAGCATTTAAAGTTCAAAAATTGACAAAATATGGAAAAACCACGAAAATTAGCAAATTATTTTGAGTTAAGACTTCGTAAAAATTTTTCTTTTTAAATCTAAGATTTTAAAATGTAATTCAAGATTCCTTATAAGATTATCTACTTATATCAAAAAAAAAAAAAAAAAAATGTCTAGAAGAAAGTCAAATTAAATTTTTATTAGCGTTTGAAATTAAAATTTTTACAACATTGGATATTCACTCGATTTCTCGTGTAGCGATTTACTTATTTTGTTGTAATTTAAAAACGAATGACTGTATATAAATGAAAATTAATGACTTTATATACATGAAAATTTCACTGAATGTTTATATTAGCATTGGCATAATTCTAGCGTAGCGACGAGTGCCGATACACGAGTAATCACTGCAACTTCGAACTGTCATAACTTTTGAACGGCAAGTTTCCGGAAATTTTTTCAAACGCTTGAATTCAGCATAAAAAACTAAGTATTTTGAAAAAAGGGTGTCTGGTAAAGTAGGTTCATACCAAATGAGATTGAATCAAAAACTTAGGCATACCAAAACACACGTTTAAAAAAAAAAAATTAAAAAAAAAGTAGTTTTTGGTTATTTTTACTGAGGTTACCACAATGTCTTAAAAAAATCAATTGTTCTCCGGTTTTTTTGGTATAACTTCCGTAATAAAAAAGAGCCACAATTTTTTCAAACATATTCAAATTCAGTGTCTTAAAACACATACCTATTTTGAAAATAAAAAAAAATTGAAAAACGAGCTTGGGCCGTAAACTAGATTTGTTCCTTTAAATAATTTACGACTACATTCCAATTTCCAATTTTAAGTTATATATTTTAATATAATATTATAATAGCCATAGTGTAAGAATAATAGCACAATTTTTGATCAACTGCCCGATGCCCAACAACAACTTCCATTTGGTTTTCGCTCCACCAAAATTACTTTGAAGATATTTTTGTTCACCTATGTTGGTCACACTACATAACATATGTTTAATAGATTGCGTTTCACATAGATTGGCTGTCCGTCGAATAGGGGGGTCAAACGATTTTCGACCATCCATTTTCTTTTCTCATCACCATCCTGTTTGTGCTAGAATTTACACCCAGCTAGTTACACACGTTCACGTTTTAAAATCATCAATATGGCTAACCTATCCCTCCGTTTGGCTACAAAAATCGGAAAACAGTTAAACAACACATTACCCCAGGTAAAGTATAATAATTTGTAATTTTTCTTAATATTGCTCGGCGGATACGGCGTAAACGTAGTCTACGATGCCGGTCGGCTAGTAGGGGCGATCCTTAATTTTCGTCTGTAATATTTTCTTAATTCAACTTAACTTCATGATATTAACACATTGATATTGTACATTTATTGGTCTTGGTTCCTTTTTTTATTATTTTGTTAGTTGTAATTTTTTGCACTTATAAATAATACACACTTATGTATATAACCTTCTTATGACCTTTGATTGTAGTTTAAGTATCTATAATTTTTTTTTATATTTAAAAGGTTATTCTCACATAAAATATGCGTAACTTAATAATTTTGAACAAAATCTTGGTATGTAAGCTTAACTATTTTCGACTTATGTACTAGATTTTGCTATTGTAAAACATAGAAATATATATTTTTTAACTTGTTTAAATAACTTTTAGTATCGTTATTATTGACTGTGAATTAATTGGATTTTAATTGTTATGCTTATATTCAGATAAGCAAGGCTTCATGGACCACATCAAAACTCATCAGTCGGTCATTACATATAACATGCAGTGCCCGAGCTGCAGAAATTTCTTCCATTTTGGAAGAAAGAATTTTGGGAGCTCCACCCAAAGTATGTATTACCTGTATTAAAAGCTAGAAATTGTAATACCAAATAAATTATATAATAATTATATAATAATTTATATAATCTAGGCTGATTTAGAAGAGACTGGTCGCGTTTTGAGTATTGGTGATGGTATTGCTCGAGTTTATGGATTAAAAAATGTACAAGCAGAGGAGATGGTGGAATTTTCTTCTGGATTGAAGGTTTGATATTTAAAGTTTAAATATTTAAAATTAATTGTCTTAAAATTCTAGAACACATGTATTTAAGCTTCAAGTTATATTTTATTCAGTATATGATTTTGAAATATAACATTTTTAGATGGTTATATTTTGTGGTCCTATATTTTAATAGTAGTTAATAGAATTTCTTTCATTATTAGGGTATGGCCCTTAACTTGGAACCTGACAATGTAGGAGTTGTAGTATTCGGTAACGACAAGCTAATCAAAGAAGGCGATGTTGTAAAACGTACTGGTGCTATTGTGGATGTACCAGTTGGTGAAGACCTTCTTGGACGTGTGGTTGATGCTTTAGGTAATACTATTGATGGTAAGGGACCATTGACATCTAAGCTTAGGTACCGTGTGGGTATCAAGGCTCCTGGTATCATTCCCCGTGTGTCTGTACGAGAACCTATGCAGACTGGTATTAAGGCTGTTGACTCACTTGTACCTATTGGTCGTGGTCAGCGAGAATTGATCATTGGAGACAGGCAAACTGGGTCAGTAGTAGTAACTTCATTAATTTTTAAGTTATATTATTTATTTAATAAATTGTGCATTATTTAGTAAAACTGCTTTGGCTATCGATACTATTATCAATCAAAAGAGATTTAATGACGCCCAAGATGAAAAGAAGAAACTGTACTGTATTTATGTTGCCATTGGACAAAAAAGATCAACTGTTGCCCAAATTGTAAAAAGATTGACAGACACTGGTTAGTATAAATGTTTTTAAAGAATAGAATTATTATTTTTACTAAAGTTTTAAATCAAAAGTTTATTTATTTGTTAAAATTACCTTATAGGTGCAATCAAATATACTATCATTGTATCGGCTACAGCTTCTGATGCTGCTCCCCTGCAATATCTGGCCCCTTACTCTGGATGTGCCATGGGTGAATTTTTCAGAGATAATGGCAAACATGCTCTTATCATCTATGATGATTTATCCAAACAAGCTGTTGCTTACCGTCAAGTATATAGACATTTTTTAATAATACATTAAATTGATATATAAATTATTTTAATCTTTTTTTAGATGTCCCTGTTGTTGAGGCGTCCACCTGGCCGTGAAGCCTACCCTGGTGATGTGTTCTACCTTCACTCTCGTCTTTTGGAACGAGCGGCTAAGATGAGCGAAACATTAGGTGGTGGATCTTTGACTGCATTGCCCGTAATTGAGACCCAAGCTGGTGATGTGTCTGCATACATTCCCACTAACGTAATTTCCATCACCGATGGACAAATTTTCTTGGAAACAGAATTGTTTTACAAAGGTGTCCGTCCAGCTATTAACGTAGGTTTATCTGTGTCTCGTGTCGGTTCTGCTGCCCAAACTAAGGCCATGAAACAAGTGAGTAATAGATACAATTTTAATTCATTTTTCTACAAAAATAAGTTCATAAAAACTTATGATTGTAATTATAGGTAGCTGGTTCCATGAAACTGGAATTAGCTCAGTATCGTGAAGTAGCAGCTTTTGCTCAATTTGGTTCTGATTTGGATGCAGCTACTCAACAACTTTTGAACCGAGGTGTTCGTCTGACTGAATTGTTGAAACAAGGACAATATGGTAAGAAAATAATTAGGATGGATTACTTTGTAATCCCTATTTGTTTTTATTGTATGTTAATAATTTGGTATATGTACATGTCAATATTTTTAATGCTCTAAATTATGAAAAATGTATATTTGTATCTTAGTGCCAATGGCCATTGAAGAACAAGTTGCCGTTGTCTACTGTGGTGTACGAGGATTCCTTGATAAAATGGAACCATCCAAAATCACTACTTTTGAGAAAGAATTCTTACAGCACATCAAGTACTTTTTTGTTATACTTATAATTTATACTATCAACCAACGGATTTTATTAACCTGATTTATACATTTTTAGAACCTCCGAGAAATCATTATTGGAAAGCATTGCAAAAGAAGGAAAAATTTCAGATGATACTGATGCAAAATTGAAAACTGTTGTTAATAATTTCTTAGCTTCATTCAACGCTTAAGTATTTTTATATGATTGATAACAAAACAAGTTAGTTCTCACAATGTTTCCAGCTCTTTTTATAAAAGGGTTATCGTCGTTAAGCCTACTGTTGTTCATAGTACCATAGCCATTAAATTTGTATTTACTTTACCCTTTTATATAAACTGTGAATTACATTCAAAGAACTGGATTTCCACAATAATTATAATTAGTAATACATTTTTTTTTTTGTCTACCTTGCATTGTTTTATTTATTATGTGTTGGACAAAATTAAGGAGTCGATTTATAGTTAACATTGTTAAAATGATATTTTTTTTTATTTTATGAAATCAAATATTTATTAAAATTATAACGAGAAATTGTAAAACTATAACAACAGTAATCATTCATGTTTTTCCATTTTATTGCGTTGAATTTTTTCTGCTGGGTAAATTGCCCATAATCCCAATTGTGCCGAGCTAAGTAACAGTGCTACTAAACATTGAGTCTGAAACAATAAATAAAAAAGATCCTCACAATTAATACTATTGAAACTAAAATAAAATATAATAAATATTTTTACTTACAAAAATGATAATATTTCGTATGTTGATACTATACAGAAGCCATAAAATACAGAGAACAATAGAATTTATCAAAATTGGCTTTGGATGTCCGGACCATTTCTTTGTTTTTATAGTTTCTCTCTATAAAAATTAAAACCAATAGCATTGTAAGAAAACAATTATTAATAATCCTTTTTATTTAATAATAGATTTATTATTTTTGCCTAGAAGTATTTATGTACAGTCTAATCCGCTTAATGGGGATTGATATTTTTTACTTACAACTGATAGTAATGGCCAACCCATTAGTGACAAGTGTATGATTGATACTATAATTGGGAATCGAGTCACAACTAGATTTGTCGATTCTATAAATGAATATGTCAGGAGTACTGAACTTATTAATGTGGTTTTAAAAAGTGTCGTTATCACATTCATCTGGAAGTATTTAAAATTTGTTTTAAAATTGTTTTAAAATTTACTAAAATTGGAATAGTTACTTTTTTATTTGAATAATACCAATAAAGCGCTAAGTAAAATGTATTAACTAATAGTCCCATTCCATGAACAAACATCATTGTTTGTAAATTTAAAATAAAACCCTGACGACAAAATAGTGAACTTCTGAAAATTTAAAAAATGTTTTAGTATTGATCTCAACTCGTACTAAGTAGACTTACCTAAAAAGTGCACCAACAAATGTAGATAAATTGACATGGTCAGACGTCTTTTTCTTCACAATATCCTTGCATACTAGCCTATATTTAAAGCAATCAATTCAGTTATCTATAGCTTGTGATTCTAGTAACTAATGAATTATAAAATTCAATTTAGATTTAAACATTTGCTTTATGATTTTGTAGTATGAGAAATACAATGTTTTTATGAATTTCTCATGACTTACATGTGATAGAAAAAAATGATAAATTCTAATATAATGAGTGGATGGTAAGTACCTAGTGAGTAGTGACTTTAATTTTGAGATACAACAAACATACCTAATATCAGGCATCAGTAACGTACTTAGAACTGCATTTTTGAGGAGGGGGGACTGGGGGAGGGTTATTGGTGATTATTATTGATCAAAATATACATCTCATAAGAAATTAATTCTTCCTGAACATTTCTGAGGGTTTTGTCCCCCCTCCTCCCGTTTGTATGTCACTGCCTAGTAATTAATATGCAAAATATATTTTTGTATTTGAGTTATATCTGTATTATAATACAAGTTTAGAAGAATATTGTGGTACAAACTACAAACGGCTATCATGAAAAAAAAAATGAATTTTTTTTATTTTATAATGAGATAACTATATAGGCACTTTTTACCATGACAAATTAAATTTGTCATGTATTTTACATAATATATTTATAAAAAGTTATAAATTAATATTAATATTCTTTATGTACTATCGTACTGATACACATTTTACATACCTAACATGAACATTTTTAAGTGACTGAAGGGTTTGTTAAATGATGTAATTTCACTGTTTCACAGAACACAAGAGTTTCGATTGTTGGAACTAGCTCAATTTAAGTACTACGAGTTCGAAAAATGCGCTAAATACCTACTATCTCTCCTGATCATATATAATAATTAAGTGGAATTCGACATTTTGTATGTTTTGTCAACTTTTGATGTCAATGCCCCTATGTGGCCTGTGAGGCGAAGGTAGTCTCGTATTCAGCAACCAGCGATGTTCCTCGTAAAAGGCTCATTTGTGCGATGCAACGCAATAAATCGACTGAAAAGTACATTTAACCTTTATCAGTAGGTAGCAGTCGATTTCAATTTTATTTACAGAATTATGTGACCTATTCTGTGGTATTGTTCCGTCACAATTTACTTTTCTTTTTACTCCGCCGTGATTTCCGATCAAAATTCATTTTTAAATGGTTTAATGTCGTGAGAAGATTCAAGCATTGACATAAAGATAAACATAAAGACATAAAGACTTGATTCAACTTTCTTGTACCTATTTCATACTTGTATAGTTGTATTCAATATAGGTAGGTAGGTATCTACAACTTTACAAGAGCCTATACAAAAAATATATACAAATAGGTATCGGCGAATCCAGTTAATTATTGATAATAGTTTATTATACTGGCTCATAGAGTAATCACTCATCAATCATCATCATGACGATTATAGAATATTTTTTACTCTGTTAAGGGCGCATGGGAGTAAGTACTCATTAAAAATGCTTGAAATAATATATTTTAAATTTTACAGAAAACGTTTTACCTAAAAACAGAAAAATTGGTAGGTACACGTCATCCAGTGATAAGTTTAAATGAAAATACGCATAATTATAATGGCAATATCTAGGTAAATTTTTAAAGATGTTACATTTTGTCAAATTTGCCTTATTTGTAAAATACGACAAAATAAATATTTAATTTTTGACATTTTATAAAATAAATTTACATCTTGCCTAGTAGGTATATTCTACAAACACCGTAAACGAGAAAGTCTCGTAACCTAGTCATCATCACTTATTAGATTTATTAATTATTGTATTATAATTAAAATACATCGAGGCGTATATAATTATTTTTATTTTTTACTAAAGATAAATTATGCAATACGTATTTAATTATATATTTAAATATAATACTATGTAATAAACTATAAACTATTTTTTTTTATAATAATGACAATGTTCTGTGCTAATACCTATAAATAAATATGATAACGTCTTATATAGTTAACTAGATGACGTGACAACGCGAGTGAAGGGCATCTATTGACGCTATCTTTTTATACTTTCAATTAGGTATGAACTAGGTAGTCATAAAGTTAGATATAATAGATTTTTTTTAAATGCGATTTAGAATTTCATAGGATACAACTTGGTCTAATTACTATCGTAAATTGTTAGAGGGCAGAAGTTCCCCTATGAGAGTATTTAGTTAGGAGATTAAAAGATCAATAGTTGCTTGAAAATGGTTAGTTGTTCCTATTTAGGCATAATATTATGTTCTTTTGGTGGGGAGTTTGAAAAATCTATGATAGATTTTTTTATTCGTGTATATATAGTTTAAGTTATTGTGAATTTATTTAGTTTTATAATTATTTTAGAAAAAAAATATTGAGGTAAGGTACCTATTTAAAAATAATTGAGTTACTCCTTCGCATTACACAATAATTTAAGAAATAAATAATTCTACTTATTTTATACTAGTTAGTAAAACTTCCTTCTATATTCACATTATATTAGTCATTATGACATGACAATTTAAATATAGTGATTTATGAATTATGATAAATAAAGCTGTCCATTACCTCATATTGTGTAGGTAATCAATATTAGGTAGTACTTACAAAGGAGTTAACATCATTGCAGTGGATGCACAACCCGCAGAAAACGACACTGCTTTAACATACACTTCGTACATATCCATACTTACAGCAGAGATTTACTTTTACAAATTGATAATAAATATAATTAGTGAAAGTGTGAACTGATAGGTATTAAATGAACTAATAGTGAGAGAAGCTTAAAACATTAGATATGCACACAAAAAATTGTATATTTATCAGAAGTAATATCTAAGAGTGGTTGTCAATATTGTGCAATAGTGCAATACTATAGTTATCAAAAATTAAAAAGATAGAGATAATGGAACATAATTAGGTATGGCATTTTTTTCTTTGATTAATAAAGAAGAAGAGTAATTTATTTTTTTAACACAGGTTGTATATTTAAATGTGATAAATAAAGATAAACACAAACTATCAAAAAAATATTTATCATTCATCTATATCCAAACTATAATTACATAAGTAAATAGACATAATGGATATATTATATTTATATTTTAATATACACGGCTTATTTTTTTCATTAGCATGGTTCTCTTTAGCTTGACCGTTTTCCCTACATGAACTCTTCATAATCATCCACCGTATAAGCTGAAAACTCATTGTAATCAGGAATCTGGAACACAGTAAAATAATATTGTTGTGCTAGTAAAATCTTAAAGCTATAAAATAATATTTAGATAAAAATTCAATAAATTAGGGCCGATTTCACCAAATAATTTAAACTTCGATTACGCTTAATCGACTGATAACAGATATTTAACCGGGCAAATTCGGCCGATTAAACCCTGGTTGACTTTATACAAATTTTAAAGTAGTTGTGAATGCGGCCTTTAATTCTATTGAATAGCTATTGCTGATCATATGATCTAATATATCAAATGTTTGTTGACTATTTGAAGTAATTGTTTAATAATGTTTTATTTATTATACAGCAAGTACCATGGTGGCAGATATATTTAATTAAAATATAGTCAAGAGAAAAAAAAATCAAGGATTATTTAATTATGTAATATAAATAAATTATTACTAATTTAATACATACAAATAACTTATAGGCTTCTTCAACAATATCAATATTGCAAACTTTTTTCCAAAAATGTAGATACAATAATCGTAATATATTGTACAAATGAATTTTAATTTTTAATTGAAGGCCCCGGCCATTAGGTATTTGGGTTACCAGAAACTATGGATGCGCATTCTACTCTGATCTGTCATGTATAGCTTTCGCACAAAACTACCACATGCTCTGTCAGTAAATGTTACGATAAAGATAAATATAGATAAGTATAACAGAAATAGATGACATTTTTGTCATACATACATTATGATTTTTTTAAATACGTAATATTATATTATTGATGACAAAATAATTTAGTATTTTTATTAATTACGTTTTTATTGTAAAGAGGACGTCACACCAGCATGTATTGTCTCTGTCTTACAAATTTACAACATAGCAAAAACTGTTTTCTGAGGGACAACTTTTCTCGCACCATATTTGTTGTAGAACTACCAAATTTACACATCACGTAAATGAGAACTTTATCTGTGCAACAGAGTGCTCTTTTTTTTAATAGCACTATCCAGTAATTTTTTATAAGCAAATGAAAAAATCAAATAACTTTTATTGTATTTATGTTATCTAAAATATGGGAGCACTGTTGCATAGATACCCTATATGTTCAGAAATTTTGGAGCCACTACTACAAACATAGAAAGATAAAAGTTGTCCCATGCAAAACAGTTTTTTCTATGTTGTACATATTTTGTAAGACGGAGACAACACATGCGGGTGTGGAGAATTCGCCACTGTACCCCTGACTTCTCTCTTTATTAGTATTTTTTCTTTTGGTCCGTCAAGTTGACATTGTATTGTATTATTAATGAACAAGAATTTCATGTAAAAAATAACAAATTTAGAGACATAAGGGGGGGGGAGTGTGTCCAAATTAACTAGCGACAAATGTCTTGCAGGTCAGGAGATAAGGTTAGGATTATTAAAGTTAACCAAGTAAAACCAAGATCCTAAACAAATTAGACTAATGGTGAGGTGGTGGTGTTATTCTAAATGGTATTCTTTAATTTGAAAGGGATCAAATTACAATTAAATGCCACATTTAGAAAAATATTAAATGGTAAGCCAAAATTAAAAATAAGGAGTAAAAATCGAATGAAGTTGTTTTGAAGGAGCAGCAATTTAATGAATTATGGTAAAATTTCAAATCATTTGTAAAGAACAGCAGGAGTGGCATGGTGAAGCACCCTGGATGTGCTATTAATAAATAGAGAAAACCAGAGGTGGTAGATGGTCACCTTTAGGAACGCTTGAGTGAATTGTAAATGATTTGTAAGTGATTCAATGAATGTTTTTTTTAAATTATTTTAATTTTAATTCAACCCAGACTTGGAAATAGGCATATTATTGTATAATTTAAAAAGGTGGACTAGTATGTATGTACCGCTATGCTGTATAGTAGTTGTCGAGTATGTCATTGAAATGGATTTGTTAGATTTTAATGCAATGATAAATCATTCAATAAGAAAAACAATTCTGAGTGGTATGTCATCCTAATATACATGTGTATAAACAATCAAATTTAATGATTAAAAAAATTTGATGGCATCAAATACCAGTGGCATATTTTCACTACCCTAAAATTTTAAGAAAACTGAAAAAATAAATCTATAATTAACGATAGTTACGGCAAGTCATAAAAATCTTATTTTACTGATTTTTAATTGCTCATGCTGTTCATGGACAAAACTAGATCATAGTACATACTACATAGTATAATATATCATATTATGATCTTATCTTTACAATAAAATATTAAAATCCATGAGATATTACAAATTACAAACGCTACCACTATTTAAAGTTATGCTGTCAAAAATATATTATTTTTAAGAACAAAATGGATAGTAAAAAAAAAAAACTTACAGTACTGTTGTCAAGTCGCAGTTTAGCCTTTCCTTTGCCTTTATTTTTTTTATTTTTATCACCCTTTTCTGCTTTCATTTTTTCTGTACTCATATTATCTACACTTGCTTTTAACTTTCTCAAATCATTCATTGACACTAAAACAAAAAACATTTTTTTTTTTTTAATATGGATACATTTTATTATATATTTAATTTATAACACACTTACATGTAACAGATAAATTCCTAATAAGTTCTTCAATAAAGTCAGAATAATGATCAGATTTAGAAAAACTTTGTATTTTTTTCTGAAGAGCTTGTTCAAAAACAACAAAATCTTCTTTTGATTTTGGATTCATGCGGTCTATTGAATCTTCATCACTTTCATCTACACCTAACATTTCTTTGGCTACTTCCAAATCGGCTTCTTCTTGTAGTTTCTGTTGTAATAGCTTCTTTTCTTCTGGTGTCATGTTTGAATTTTCTTCTGCCTCCAAAAATTTACGCCTCATTTTTTCATTTTCTATTTTTTGTTTTCGCTAAAAATAAATATTTTAGATTAGCAGAGTAACGGCCGTTTTTACAAAGTTAACCATCACTTAACCGGTCAAATTTTGCCTGTAATAAAATCTGTTATCAGTCAGTTAGCGTTAACTGACACTTTACTGGACATTGTAAGAACAGACCTAAGGAATTTATTAGTTTGATAAAAATATAATTTTAAACATTTTGTTTAGTCTATACAAAGGTATGTTGTTGTTACAGCAATTTGCAAATATCAAAAAACTGTTGTGTAGGGAAAAAATAAATGTATACAAATATTTCTCCAATATTCAGTAATTGTCTACAAATACCTACTAAATACAACCTACTTAATAACTTAAGAAACTAACATTTTAATAATAGAACTTGACATTTTGGGAAATGTTGAAGATTTTAATTTGATTGATTTGACAGCAAAAAAATAATGTTCCACTCAATTCTACTTGATTATAAAAATAAAATACTACTCACCAAATCATTATATATTTTATAAGATATAAGAATTAAACCTGTTAGGCAATATTAACTAACATTAATCTATAATATATTATAAACTTGTTCACTGATATCCTAATTTTATTACAGTCTATAATTTTAAAATATTTAACACTTTAATCCATTGCATTAAATTTCTTATTAATTTCTGATCTAAATATGTACACATCAATACTACTGGTTATTTAGTGATATTACATTACTACCTAAGGCAAAAAATAAAAATTCCAAGTACTTCTCTTTCAGCTATTTTTTGTTCCAATTTTGATTTGGTTTTTTTCTCAGGGACTTTAGTCTCGGTTTTTTTTGTTTCTTCTTCTTCTGCATCCCAGCTATCCTAAAAAGTAAAAATAGAAGTTCATTATTGTATCATCAAAATAACTATTTAGCAAATAGAGATCATAAAATAGGTGACCATGTACTTAAAAGTACTGAGAAACATGTATGTTTTTATGAATCGTATAAATAATTGTATACATAAATAAAATTGTTACACCTTTTCACTAAATTCAAATCTAGTCTAATAAGACGACAATATACTATATATTACACGAAAACTTAAGAACCTTAATCACTAACATTTAAAAAATATTCTATTTGTAAAATTTAATATAACTTATCTAACCTATAAGTTTAATTATAACTACCAAGATCTTAATCTGTTCACATGAAAATATAATTAAAATCTAATTGACCAAAATAATCTTATACTTGGTCTTTATTTTCACCATTTTGTACAAAGGTCTACAATAGGTTAGGCGACGGCAATGTACTTTCACTTTTAAGCATGGCCAACCAAATTTTTGACTAAGTACAATCATAAAATATCTCAAATCCCAATAAAAATTAAGTATCACTTTTATAGTATACTTTGGAATTTTGATTCATTGTTATTAGGTATAGTATGTTAACGATTACTAAACTATGAGCATAATTTTTACTTCACAAAATGACTAGTATTCTTTACAACCAAATAATGGCAATACATTATTAAACATATTGAAAATGTCAGTGTAGTTTGCTTTAAAATTATTTCATTATTAAATGCTAAATGAGCAATAGATGTATAGTAAAAAAAAAGGTTATTATGGACAGAAATTAAACCCCTGAACAGGTACAGTTACAATTACAATTATACCCCTAAACAACATATAGCTATATAGTAAACAATGAATTCATCATTGGACATTTGGACTTAGATAAAATATCAGTTTAATCTTAAATTTTCATATGCTACTCCATATAAATACACCAATTACTACTTACAGATGAACTGTATGCATCACATTTTTTATATCTATCAAAATTGTGTAAGTAATGACAATTATACAAAACACTGTCACAAATTAGTTTAATTAAGTATATATCATTGTCTAACCTTAATATTTTCTTCTTCATCTTCGCCTTCCCATTTGTTGAGCTTAGCACCGCCAACAATGTCAGCAACGGGAATGACGGGCTTAGCGGGTTCAAAATTATCAGCATCTAAGAAGGGGAAAGAAATAAATGAAATAATTTAGTTTGGACTTAATAACAGATCTAAAATGATCTCACACATCTCATTATTGCTGTAAAATTGTAAATTGTATTAAAATCACTCACCCCACTCCATGATCACGTGTGTCCCTTAAGCTTTTATCCACTTTATGCAAATAACCTTGGGCGTGATGCGTTTGTCAGAAAGGAATTATGTAGACTGCGATCGACGTGAGAATTATGAACCGTAATGAGTATTCAGCCAATGTTCCGTTTCGCCTATCCTTAGTATTACACATAACAAATGGGAGGAAATTTGGTAAAAGCGTATACGTATCGCAACTCGAACCAAACACGAATTCGCCGATTCAATGCTTTTGCCAAAATTTTATCGTTACCAACCCATGGAAAGAATTATACAAAAGACAGGTTGTACAACGCACCAGAAACAAAGTAGTATATTCTGTGGGGTCTCAAGACATCAAGCAGTTCGGAGGGCATCGGGCAGTTGGGTCCCCGAGATAACAGCCGTTATCATCAGCATTATTTATCAGTTTAATCTCATGGAATAAACGCCTAAATTGGGGACCAACTAAAATGTAGGAGTACCAACTTAGAAATACTAACATTCCCAATCCATTTCAATTTTTATCCCAAAATTATGTATTTTCAGATTCAAATATTATTGTACAATTATTGTACGTACAATAATTCTAGTACAATTCAAAATCATGGTATTATTGTATTAATGTATTAAGGATTTTTAAAACATGGTCTTGGGATTTTCAAAAACTGAAATAACAACTTTTTGGAAAAATTAAATTACATATCGCTGGAGATGATATTCCAGCAAACATTATCTACTACATTAGCCAAATTTTTTGAGGTGACAAGTCATTATTCTGTAAATGATGTGAGTTATACCTATGATGAATAATATAATGATCTCTAAAAATATACATTTGTGCAAATTTTATACAAATACCAGTTTATTTAATAAATAAACTTATGAACGACAAATAAATTTAATTGTTAACTGATTTAAAACAACGAGTTATTCGACACTAGATTCATATAATATATTAAAATTGTGTGAAACTACACTTGTGTACTTGGCTAACATTAAATGTATACATCATAGGTACATTATATCAATATAAATATTTTATAAAAGCCAAGTGGGTTCACAAACATTTTATCCATAAGGGTAGATATTGAAGCTACCCACCTAAACGTTCAAACATTTAAAACCTGAATGCCCAAAAATAGTATTTTAGTGTCACCGTTGGGAAATCTGTGTAACAAATAACTCATAATAATTATGATTATTCTTGATTAACTATTGACAAAATGTATCCATTTGTACTACTTTATATACCAATTACAGTTATTACTTAGTAATAACATTAATAATAAGTAAGACATTAGTAATGTATAAATTATAAAAATAAAATTTTATATATTTATTAAAAATAATTATATAGCTAGACAAAATATAACTTTAAGAAGTATGAACATTGTTGAGTAGTAGAGATGGGACATGTTAACTTTAATTAACTAATTTAGTGATTCATTTTTCAATTAAATTAACTGGAGCAGACTGTTCAGTGTATCATAATTTAACTTATTTATTTGTTTGTGACCACCACAGACAAGATAATTTAATTGAATCATTAATCAATTCTACAAAATTAATTAACCAGTGTAACAAGAAGTTTCTATATCTATTTTATGGTTTTTATAGATCAAATTTGAATTTAAATAATGTAAAAATATTAGTTTGTCGACCCATTATAAAGACAGTACATAAAAATCATCTACATTTTATAATTATGAATATTATGAATATTACATTTTGGAATTAAGTAAAAAGTAATAATAATTAATATTAATCTCAATTATCTACACACCAAGTAGGTGTATCTATTTAATTAAATTTTTTATTTATTTTAAACAAAGCATGTGTATGTTTACCATGTTTAGTAATCAAAGGTGAGATATTTATCAATATTGAAAACTGGTTGAACAGTGATATGATATGATATTTTAATCTTTTAGTCCAGTAAATATTTAAACATAAATGCAATCAGCCAGGGAAATTTTATTTTAGCATATTGAAAATATAAATTAATTTCTTAAATTGCATTTTAACCATTTCTTATTTTTTTTTTATTGCATCTATTAATAAGACAAATTTCAATTCCCTAAAGTAGAGTTCAATTATGGTAAAAATATTAACTTCAAAAATATAAAATTTGTTTGTTTGTTTGTTTTTTTAAAATGTTTTATTAATTGTAATTTACTTTTTTATAAAATAGTAAGTTTTTGTATCAAGTGTCAAAGTAGCTGAAGTGAATTGTTGTGAAAAAGACATCTCTATCTAAATTGTAGATGAATATTTTCAAAAAAAAAAAAAAAAATATTTGCATAGGTAGGTACTTGGTTTATTAAAATGTAATAAATCCATAACTTTGTTGGTACCATATATCTTACAAAAAACAGTTAAAGACTATTATGAATATTTATATAAATAAATATGAGTATAGTTAATTATTTTCCTATTTATTATAATTGTTATTTTTTTTAAAAAATATGCATACATTTTTATTATGTGTGATAGTCTGTGGTGGGTTAAGAGGACGTCTCACTCGCATGTGTTGTCTCTGTCTTACACACATACGACAAAGTCAATTTTCGTTAGCTAGATTCAATAGGGTATTGTCAGTTTTGATATTAAAGTGAATTTACCTATTATCCAACTTTTAGATAACAGCATTATCTGTGTTCTCTCGTTGGTTTTTTACAATATTTCAATTTTTAAGTGAGTTATGAGTATGTAAAATATTAATAATTGGAAATGCTCATAACTCACTTAAAAATTAAAATATCGTAAAAATCCAACGAGAGAACACAGATAATGCTGTTATCTAAAAGTTGGATAATAGGTAAATTCACTCTAATATCAAAACTGACAATACCCTATTGAATCTAGCGAACGAAAATTGACTATGTCGTACGTGTGTAAGACGGAGACAACACATGCGGGTGAGACGTCCTCTTAAGGGTTAAAAAATTTACATTGGTGGAAATATGTTAAATGGCCAATGACATTGATGAACCTTGCAATATTCTACAATTATGAGTTTATTGCTTTACTACTCTCTACCATACACTATAGATCTTGTTATACGGTCGTCGGTCATACACTATCAACATAAACACCATGTGAAACCGTTAGTGGAAACAGTTTTCTCAGAAGAAGTTTTTCCAAACAGAATAATCTCCTAAATGGCTTGCATACATCAGTTACTGCATCTTGCTGACTAAAATTCAAAAAAAAAAACAAAGAATTAATATAAATTAAATTATTTTTAAAATCGTATTAATTTAATACCTCAATATCATATTAAAAATCAATGTAGTAAAATAGTAACCAATCAACATTATCAATAGTTTCAACACATAGTTTTTTCTAATACAATATAGCAAACATCCTTGAGTTATAGATGTGAACCTATTGCGTATACTTATTTATGATTATCTATGCCTTTAGTAGAAAAATATTAAATAACAATATACACATGTGAACTTTTAATGTTATTAATAATTAGTAACTCTATCACCATTTACCAGGACTTTAAAATGTATTAAAATGTAACAGTAAACAGTTACAAAACCTCAGGTGTTCAATCCACACCTGACTGCAACTGTGTAAGATAAATAATCGTCGTTGTAGTGTATTTGTTAAGTTATTACAGATGTATCATAGCCAATAAGTACCTAATACATTCAGTGGAGGCGTAAACTGTTTTTCCTATGAAGCAACTGCCTTAAATAAGTACCTATACCATACACCAGTATTATTCACATTTTACACTTATTTTTTCCCAGACTTTAAACGCAGGCCCTAAGAGACCATGCGAGTATAAATTATAAACTAGTCTAGCCAACTAGGTGTTTGAGACTGGAGTCATTGGGGTACCCACCTTCACTTTTGCATGAGACAGCTGCCTCGTAAACAGCTATTCACGCCTCCACTAAATACATTATAGGGATTGTAACACTTTACAGAACTTACATAGTTACATGATTTGAGTTATGATGGTTTGAATGTGATTGTTGTAGCTTGTAGATAGCATAACTTGTTTTTTGCAATGGTTTTAATGCTTTGTCGATACATTTTACCTAGAAATATTTACACTGTAGTTTAAAATAAAATACACAAAAAGGTTAGTAGCCAAAAACTATGTATGACTTACAAAAATCACTTCAAAGGTGACCTGTTTAGATTTGTGATTTGTATACAGAACAAGGACAGGTAGTGAACGTATTAATTAATTATATAAAACCTACTTAAAATAGTAAAAAGTAATTAATAGTTAATACATTTTAAATTTTATAAATTGAATAAAAATTAAAAACTGAGTTCAAATATTAACGTACAATAATATTATTGATATCATAGATAATAAAGATAATAAAGATCTTTATTATCTATGATTGATATAAGATACGAACATAACCTCAATATTGTTGTCAATTGAAACGGTAACCATATAAAACCTGAACCGTGGTTATAGTGATTAATGATCCGTTATCATAACTTATAATCTATGATTTTTGATAAAGCGTGTTTTGTAAGATTTTTTTGATTTTTTAATGGTTTTTTGAAGCTATCTATTTAACTTCAAAAAAATCCGTTAAGCCGATCATTTAAATGGAATCTCCATAAAATTCCCTATCGATAAACATACGGTTTGACCATTTATCGTTCTCCTATCTGGGATTAATCTCATCCACAAATAGACGACCACAATAGTTCTGAAAAGAGTAGATACTTATTTTGTATATTCAACTAATATACTAATACTACAATACTATTTTATAGAATATACATCATCTATCATTTACTTATTGACTATACCTATTGTCCTATTAGTAGATTTTGAGACATGTCATATTATAGTATTATACATGCAACATGCACAACAAATTGCATTTAATTTTAATCATTTTCGAGATGTTGATGATTGAAATCCTAAGTTCATCAGTTAATAATTATACATATAAACAATTGTTCATATTAAAACCACTAATAGATTTATTATGGATGTGATTATAAGAATAGGTAACTAC